CCTCTCCTTGTGTTTTGGACTTCAGCTCCCAGAAGCCCCAGCCAATTTGGCCAACAGTCGGGAATTCTGGGAGATGAAGTCCAAAACATCTGGAGGAGCAAAGTTTAGGAATCACTACTAGACGCAGCCTTCAGACTAGGCTGCAGTTGCACCCACATAAGAAAATGAATGCAGTTTGACACTGCTTTATCTGTCATGGATCCAGCCTATGGGATTTGTAGTTTGCTGGGGCACCAGAGCTTCTCTGACACAGAAGGTGAAATATCCCACAAATATCCTACAGATCCCAGGATTCTAGAGCATGGAGCCCTGGCATTTAAAGCCGTGTCAGACTGCATTAATTCTGCAGTGCAGATGCAGCCAGGGAGTATCCACACAGCAGACTTAAAGCAGTTTGATCCCACTTCAACTGCCATAACTCTATCCTCTAATACAGTTTGGAGAGGCACATGAGCTCTCTCTTAGACCAGGCTGAATACATCACCAAACTACAAATCCCAGGATTAAACAGGATAGGACCCATGGCAGTTAAAGAGAGCACTGGCATTTAATCACTGTGCCACCAGGGCTCCCTACTGGTATCATATTTGTTCCCATTAGCAAGTGGCATTACTAGGGTTGGCATCACCCCGTATGGCAGTGGCATCATTAGGGGGTACAGACTGCCCTGGGTGACACCCCAAAGGTACACCATAGAGCCCTGGTGGTGCAATGGTTAAATGCCAGAACTGCAGCCATTCACAACCACAAGGTTGTGAGTTCAGTCCCAGCCAGGGGCTCGGGGTCGACTCAGCCTGGCATCCTTCTGTAGGTCACTAAAATGAGTGCCCAGCTTTTTGGGGGGCAATTGGCTTACACATTGTAAACCGCTTAGGGAGTGCTGAAGTGCACTGATAAGCAGCATAGAAATGTACTTGCTATTGCTAAGTGGCACAACTGCTAGGCAAGTGAGAAAAGGCGTCACGTACCTTTATCACTTACCCAGCAGCCATGGGGGTGCCTTCCATTTGGGCTTTGGTGCGGCTGCAGCCATGCCAGAGCCCAAACAGACTTCCAGGGCCTGGCATTGCCCCCTCCAACAGCCGTGATTGCTGGGTGTGTGTGTGTGTGTGTGTGTGTGTACGTGTGCAGTCCCTTACGTTTGGACTCTGGCATGACTTGCTGGAGCCCAAAGAGACCTCCAAGGGTCACAGAAGTTTGCCTCCCCACTGACCCCCAGCACTGGGTAACACCAATCCCAGTATGCCCCTGCTGTATGGTAACTCATGGCATCCACCACCCGCCATTGACTCCTCCTGTACCACACTATATAGAATCCTTAGGAATTTTTTTTTTGTACTAATACAACTCATAACTAGATGGCCATGATTCTCTGATAAATTGTAATTCCCCAAAACTAACAGGATTTTTTCGATTGATAAAAAAAAATACACTTTCAAGATTTTAAAAAACCCTTCTGGAGCCATTGCATGCTATTTCAGGGTGTGTCCCCCCCAGTCCTTCCAAATTAACCACAATATGACTAAAATAGCCAGAAAGGCAACAGACAGTGATATGTGGTCATTCTAGTAGACCACAAGTTGAACATGAGTCAACAGTGCGATGAAGCAGCTAAAAAGGCCAATGCAATTCTAGGCTGCATCAATAAAAGGATAGTGTCTGAATCAAGGGAAGTAATAGTTTCACTCTATCCTGTTTTGGTCTGGCCTCACCTGAAATAATACTGTGTCCAGTTCTGGTCACCACAATTCAAAAAGGATGTGGAGAAGTTGGAGCGTGTCCAAAGGAGGGCAACTAAAATGGTGAAGGGTCTGGAAACCAAGTCCTATGAGGAACGACTTAGGGAACTGGGGATGTTTAGCCTGGAGAAGAGAAGGTTAAGAGGGGATATGATAACCCTGTTTAAGTATTTGAAGGGGTGTCATATTGGGGATGTATAGCTTGTTTTCTGCTGCTCCAGAGAATAGGATATGGAGCAATGGATGGAAGCTACAGGAAAAGAGATTCCCCTTCAACATTAGGAGGAACTGCCTGACAGAAAGAGCTGTAAATTGGGGGAAGACACTCCCTTGGAGATTTTGGCGGAGTCTCCTTCTTTGGAGGTCTTTAAACAGAGGCTAGATGGTGAGATGTTGGGAGGGCTTTGATTGCGAGTTCCTGCATGGCAGAATGGGATTGGACTGGATGGCCCTTGGGTTCTCTTCCAACTCTATGATTCTATGATTCCCATTCACTAAAATGGTGGCTCTCATGGCATGGCTTAGTCCTGCCACGGTAGTAGAGGAGCCCTAAATCCAGGGATGCAACCTTCTGGGCTTGGATTAGTCCTTCCCTTGGTTTAAATTTTCAACAAACGATCCCTAAAGCCATGCACTTTGTGGCAAAGCTCATCATCCAATTTCCCATTCATCCCATGCTTTCTCCCAGCAGATCATGCTCTTCTTTGCTTCCTATCACTCCTCCAGCCACGCTTCTTTGGCCAAGAGCTCAACTAGGGTCCCATGTGTTGGAGAGATTTGCTTCCAGGAAGCCGGAGGAGACAGCAAGATCTTAACATCTCCTTTTGCCAAGGAAAGCGGACACAGATAATCCTATGTTTTGCAAAAGCTCAGAGGGAAGCTGTGCAATGATTATTGCATGGGAAGAAAAGCAGGAGAGAGAGAGAGAGAGATGATGGTCTTGGCTCCCTTTGAAGAGCCTTCTGCTATCAAGGAGAGCTTCTCTCTCTCTCTCTCTCTCTCTCAAAAACACCGAAAAGCCATTAAGCAAGGCTTCGTTGTGCTCTAATGACAAACTAATGACTAGGCTAATACCTTGGGCAAGTCAGAGGAGACATCGGGGAAAGCGATAAGATAACCCAGGACCACAGCCAAGAGAGTGTGGTTGCCTGCGGGTGAGGACTGCAAATGAAGACATGAGATTCTGGAACACTATGTCTCCCTGCTTGACCATCCCTGTGGTCATTTGGACTTTAAAAGCAGGGCCCGGCAATCCTTGCAGGAGATCTTGCAAGGAGACTTTGCAAGGCTACACTCCCCTTTGCACAAAATGCCACCTGCTGGGCATGGAAGAATTTTGGCTCATTTATTTTGGGCTTCCCTGAGCCATTTTAGGCTAGGAGAGTATTTTTGTTTAGCAACACAAAGAGCTGGAGCCACTACTATGGGTCTGATCCCCTCAATGTGAAACAACTAAAAGTGCAATCGCCTGAACGGTTGGAAAAGAGATGCCCAAGAATTATGTTTGGTTTGCTCCTTTAAGTGAATTGTCAGCATTCACCATTTTTGGACTTGCATGTCTATCTGGAGCACATCTACATGGTAGAAATAATGCACTTTGACACCACTTCAACTGCCATGGCTCCATCCTACAGAATCATGGGATTTGTAGTTCTCTTTGGCAGAGAAGGCTGAAGACCCTGTAAAACTACAAATCCAAGGATTCCATAGGATGGTGCTACAGCACTTAAAGTGAGGTCAATCTACATTATTTCTACAGTGTAGATGCACCCTTTCTCATTTGTAGGCTTGCCATTAAGTCAAAGCTGACTTGAAGGCATATAACAACAACAACAACAACAACAACAACAACAAGGAAGCTATGTTAGAGGGCTGCAACACAGACAACTGAACCTTGTTGCAACTGAAAAATTAACCATGTTATTCTGGCATAAGTGTTTATGGATTATGACCCACTTCAGATGCAGACACACACAAAGAGAGAGATTAGGTTAATACTCTCCATTTACACCCTTTGGGAAGCTATTCAACACACAACATATAGTCTCATTGCTTGGAGATCTGGGGAGGATACAAGGAATCAGAGGTTTCAAAATGCCAGCCATCCGAATTCAGCCAATGCTTTTCTGCTGTTTTCTCTGACGCCAAATTCCCTCCCTGAAGGAGCATCCCTTCCTCAACAAGAAATGCCTTTCGATTGAGAGGGAGACCCAAACCATAAAGAGAATCTCCTCTTCATCACACTGGTGTGCAAAATGCACCCTCTCCTGGATAAGATGAGGCTTGCCTCTATGAGGCTTGCTTGGATCAAATGGATTTC